TGCTTTAGTTGGGAAGATACGAATTTTTTAAGCTGAGGGTGCAGTGGAGAAAAATCACGCATTTTGAGATCGGTATTGGTTAAGCCGCCAAAAACCTCAATTACAAGCGATTATTGTGAAACTAACTGCTTCTATAGAGTCAAGCATTCTATAAAAATATGAAATTTTCAAATTGTTGCAGAAATAAGGTACGTTACCCTACGAAAACGAAACATCGTCGATTAAAGTTCATGTAGCTACACTTAAGTTCTTAAGTCCATCTTCAGCAACGTTTTTTCTACGCATCATCCATATCCTTTACGAGCAATTTCCCGGTTATTTTCAGTCCGGTCGCGTTCCAAAGCCGGATTTTGGTCTCCAGAGCCGTTAATTAGCATCAAAAATAATTAATTGGTAGCTGGCCTTATCGTGAATCTTATTTTGAAGCGTCTGTGTTTGGCATAAATACGCTCCAATTAAAATTGATTTATTGACTTATCTATCAGCCACTGGATAATAATGGAACATTGCCGCCAGATTTGCGGCCATCCGCCCACACATTAACAAAAACATGATTGCAAACCGACTAAATAGTTGTGAGTCATTTCAGCTCGGCTCTAGCGCTGACTGCTTGGAAACTCAGCGATTCGGGCCGGGAAACATAAGCAACGTCGTCCAGGTGCTTGGTTTGAGAGGCTCGCGAGCCGAAGCGATGATGAGTTTCACTTTCTAATCCGTCGCTACGTGTAGCTGAGTGTGTGCCAGATTAATGAACAGATGAGTTGTCAGCGACAGCAGCCTGACACAGTCAGTGATTGATTAAGCGCGATCTCCATCCAGTCAGATTGGGCCACTTGAATTATTCAATTGTATGAAATTGGGGCTCAATTAAACCATACAATCACCTGAAAGAGGGCGCGAAACAATCCACCTACCTGTTGAAGCCAGTTTGGAAATATCCAGAAATCTGGGTGAACTGGAAACCCGCATTAATACGGAAACCCGATCGCACTGACTGCTTTTCATGTTTAACATGTTTGGTGGAGATTATCTCGGCCTTTATCAATGACCCTTGATCACTTAAGTAAACACAGCAATAAATAACGTTCGTTTTCAGTGCTTTTTCTCGTCTTCTCCTTGCAAGAAGTCGATGTAATCGCCAAAACCATATGCGAATTTATTGTGTCTGGAATGGCAGTTAATTAATCGGAGAAGCAGGAAGTGGCTATTGCAGAAAAAATGGTGGAGACCGACACTTCTAGCGCATTTATCTGGGAGTATTTTAGCAATAAACCAATAGAGCAATATTTCTCTTTTAGTTAATTAATCCCGGTTTTTTTTTCGATTAAACTCTGCTGGTATGTTAGCTATTCAATTATTTACCCTATGTGTACATTAAGGTTTCCACATCGGGTTTATCAGCTTCCCTTTTCCCTTTTCCTTGTATTTTCCGGCAAGATTTACATCTATTTCATATGGGAGCATTCAAAGCTTTGGTGGCGGGAATAGTTTACTTTTCTTGGCAGAAAAATAAAGCCGAATTGCTTTGGCTCCATATCGCTTAATCTGGACCTGAAAGGGGGTCGAATATCGACTGATCTCACTTTTCCAGGTCTGGATTTGTGCCACATGTTTCGGCAATCGAATGGTTTATTTACTCACTTTAATTAACTCCAGCAAAAAATTATTTGACTAACTGAGTAAGAACCCGAAAATCATAATACGAACTGGGATTTAGTTGCAAAGTCGAATATAAACTTTGAACTGTGAAATTTTTTTCCTGCAAAAAGTGCGATATTTTTAGCCGCAAAGGTGGCAAGTTGGAACGCGGCAACACATAAGACGTTGTGCATCTCTCTTACATTCATATGTGCGCGAGCGAGACTACCCACGCGCGCTACGTTCTAGAATGGGAAAAATAGTTGCAATCTCTTTTAATCCATTCATCAAACGAATGAATCTTTCGCAGTCGGTTGGATGATTTTTGGATTTTTAGGCCACCAGTCCGAAATCTGTACTTGTACAATGTTTTTTTTCTGTTAAATTTGTTAAATATGTTTATTTCCGTTTCAAGCTAGCGCTAACAGGAAATTCCCGGACATGAGAAGGAAAAAACCGTATTTTTTGGTTGCTAATTAAATGTAATCTGATGTCTTGTGGTAAAGGTCGTGTGCAATGATGTGTTTTCCTCGATTTAATTGGCCTTGGCATGAGATAAATGCCAAGAATGAGCTTAAATTTGCGCAAGGAAACCAGGCAGGATTGAAATTGGTTGTTAATCAAATGCGAAAAATGCATAAACATTCTCGATCTACCAGCAATTTGCAGGTTGAATCGAGGATAATTCCTGCGATAAAACTGTAAAAAAATTAGTTTCTTAACTGCTGTTGGTTGAACGGAAAATCGTCCATGAAAATTTTGTCCTTCGACACTTTCCGGTTGTACCATAAAGTTGCTTGA